CGTATCGTAGCCATATTGATGAATCAGCTATGGACGAGATTTCATTCACCTGTATCTTTGCATGGTGTTTTTTTTCAAACCAAGAGCTTCTTCTCGGCTGCTAATATGTTGTCGACAGTTGGAATTTCTGCGAGGTTGTACCTAGTCTTTAGATAAGGCAGAATGATTGCCAAGAACGTGTTATGAGCTTTCTCCTGCTTCAGAATCGCTTCTCTTCTGGTACAAATGGGTGCAGTATCTATAAGAACATTATGTAGTTGGAGAAGCATAAGCTCACTCTTCTGCTCAACATTATGAAGTCCACGTCCTAGCTCGTCCCTTGGCAGATGCAGTCTTTCCAAACATGCAGGTTGCTTGTGAATTCCGTATTTAATTAGTAACTATCTAATATCGTGGTCTATAGCCTTGAAGCCTCCAGCTTCAGCACCACGAAGCAATAATTTACTAGGCTTAGGGCGTGCTCATTCATAGCGTTGATAAAGTTCTTGCCATTTACTGCAGTTTTGGCTATAACCGCTCAATTCTCACTAAAATCTCTGCACGGACTTTATCGTAGCTTTCACTGGTAGGTGCACTAGTGCTATCTTCCACTATTCCTAGGTATTTATACCCTTGAGTTCCTTCCAATAGCGCCGGTTTATCAGCGCTTACCTCGGCATTAGTGGCTGACTTTGCTGAATTTACCTATATCCCTACCTCATCAGGAAACATTCCAACTTCTTCTGCCATAGATTTCACAGATCGGTCGCAAAGATCTTGAGATCATGCACCAACAACAGAAATTCGTAATGTGCATTTCTTGATCAGTTGGAACCACCACCTTTGGGTACCTTATATTGAGTGACAGCTCAACTGGTCCATGCACAGGGTGAATAGCTTTAAAGAACGGCTATCACCTTGGAGAGATCCTCGTTCTATTTTGTTCTCCATTATAGTTTCTCCATTGCTTTTCAATGTAACGGACCATCTAGAGGTGATCCTTGTGAGAAACCTGCTGATCCACAATGGCATGTTAAGCCTTTCAATGTACTTAATCAGATATTCGTAACTGAATCACACGCTTTTTTTATGTCATACCACGTAGTGTGAAGTTCGTTTGCGTGGTCTTTGCAAACTGCTAGGTTCAACATTGCTTGTTCCTTCACACCTTGAATCTGGGTAACAGTTCTTAATTCATTGTCTGCAAGCAGCTTCCTCATGGCAACATCTATGTCTTTATAATATTGTTGTGCCGCCTGGAGCTGACTTGCAATATCAGTCATGGGGGGATTCCGTATAGCATGTTCTCTCGCCGCTTGGTTCACTGCTCCAAGTATTAGCGGGTCCACGCTCTCCGATGTTATTTTCCGCGTCCACTTTGTTTGGTTTATCTCGCGTACCTGTGCCTCTTTATCTCGCGTCCCTGTGCCTCTTGCATCAGAACTAGACTTTTTTCCTTCACATTTAGATAAACCTTAGACTCGTGTAGCATCTTTTCTTCAAATTGCGTATTTTTTAAATTGACACGTTTCGTAGAACCGTTTCTGTAAGCACAAACGACCTGCAATACTGATGATCACAGAATTCGCTTACTTCTTCAGATCTTCGAGGGTAATAGCACACGAAAACTTCTCAGGTAATGACACAATGGCCATTGCCCTCTCGGAATTCTTCCAAATGACCAAGAAGCGCTTTCAGCACCTCTCGTCCATAGATATATGTGTATATGAATATTGCAATTTTATAATATTTTATATTGCAGAATAATATAAGCATTAGTTTTCTTATTAAAAAACTTTTTCAAAAATTTTTTCTTTTTTTCAATTTAATAACTAATAATAGATTTCAGTATCGAATATGATAGCTCATATAGTGGATTCGCAATTATTTTCAGCGATTTTTCCCCATTTTAAGATGATAAGACGTGGAAATCGCATTCCAGCACTGAAATTGTATCAATATTTTGTAGCTTTTCGTATTTTGTAGCTTTTCGTATTTCCATTTGACCAAATGGAAATATAAGTTTGAACAGAAACTTAATTCGGAACTTGATTTCGGTACTTCAGAGATAGCAGAACTTGATTCCGTTATTACTTTATTCTTTTGTTATTCTTTTTTAGAAACTTGTAAACTTTTACTTTTAAATTTGAATTTTTTCATATTTTATTTACTCTCACAAATATTTTTGCGTTGACACTTATTAAAATTTTAATACTTTCATACTGCATTTTAAGCAGAAATTTGATAATAACTAAAATCAGAATCTGATAACAATGAAAGTTATATATTAATTATAATAGAATTTAGAATATATCAAAATCCAGTTTCATTGCTTTCAAAATCTGATGGCACAAAGAGATCTTCATCCACTACTTCTGATTCTGCAGTTCCAGATGATTTCTTACCTTTTTTCTCGTCTATTCTAAAAAAATTCATTTGATTAGAATAATTCCCAGTAAAATGTCTGTAAACTGGTCAAAAGATGTGATCAAATACTTGATTTAATTGCTTTTAATTCATTTTGAACTTTGAGAAATCGCAATCAGTTATAACTTCACAACTCATTTTGAGTCTAGCTGCGAATTTTTGAAACTTAATCTTAATTTTCTACAGAAACAGATGTCTTTGGCACTTTGGTTAATTATGGAAGATTCAAAGCAATCTAGATATAATACTATTTTTTCTGAAGCTGCAAAAAAAACTTTAAATCAGTACATTAGATACAACAAACAGTAAATATTACATACTACAAATAATAACGATAAAAATATTATATTTATATATTAATATGAACTTTATATATTATTATGAAGTCCATACTAATATATAAATATAATATTTTGACCTCAGTAATTTTAATTAGCATTTTATTTAAAAGTTAAGCTTAATCTATTATAAAAATATATTTATATAAAATATATACGAAAAATACACTTGTGAGAAGTTTGAAAACTTGAAAAAATATTCTTTAAAAGCATTACAAAATCGGCAAAGTTAATCGTCCTCGTTAACAATTTCAATAAATATACTTTCGTTTTGTCATAGTAAAGTTAATTCCGAAGTTTTTTACGGAAGAAATATTTTTATCATGTTTTTAATAAGTTTTTATTTTTTAGCTATGCAGCAAATGCTAAATTTCCGTGAGGTCAAAAACATGCACACGTACACTTCAGTATGTGATGTTTGAAAATGAAGACGTGTGAGCGATCGACCCATGTGTGCTAATCTTTTTTTCAGTGTTATTACGGTAGGTTGTTCCCAATCATAAGGATCGCTGAACCTAACCATATTTCTATTATTACTTTTATTGTAATAATTTCAAACAAATCCCTGGAAGTCAAATATGAAAATTCATAGTGATAATCTTCACATTAATGGATATATTCTCATGAAGTCATCTGATTCTAAACAATTTATTTCAAATGTGGAATTTCTAACCCACAAACTAAATTATTTAATTCAGCTTCAGTATTTAAACAAATAGTATGCATATAATATTGAATCTCGAAATGAAGCAAAAAGTTCAACAATAAAAAAGTAAAATTTGAATAATAAATTAAATCTAAAAATTCCCGGGCAAAGGTTAAATATATTTCTGATTTTACTTTTTTGTCATTAACTTCTTAATTAAAATTTTATAATTAAATTTTACATTTTTGAATTTTATAAAATATGCATTTCTCAATTTGAAGAGAACAACTATTAGATAACTTTATACAAAATTTTAAATGGCAAAAATTTAAATTAACCTATACTTAAGCTTAATTGAAATACAAATTTAGTACTTGATGACATGCGCTAAAAACTTACTTGTAATTACAATTTTGCATTACGCTATAAAGTCGATCGTAGATGAGAGAATAATCGGGTCGAGTATAATAATCTAATGTTCGAAGATGTGATGTAATCTTTAAAAAATTCGAATTAACTCTCTAAATTTTAATTAAATTTTATTACTAACTATTAGTACCAGTGATTATTCCAAAACTTTTGTACTTAATTTTAACATATTTAAATTAAATTTTGAACAAATAAACTATTTAGGATTTCAATTTTTAAATCTATACACTTACAGTATACAATTACAGTAATTGTACAGTAATTGATTAGCGAAAAATCGTTTAATAATAAAATTTTCTGAAATTAAATATTACAAAACTTTTGAAAAAATTAAATCAAAACACAAACATCAAGCATTTCTTTAGGACTGTTCCTGCAAAGAGTTGTGTCGAGAGTTTGGAATTTTGCTTTGCCAATTTCATCTTTTCCACTGTAATTTTCGCATACCGTATCACAATGTTGTATACGATAATTGAATTTTCACGTAAATATGAAATGATTTCATTAAACTCGAAAGTCTCAAAAATTAATTAAAATTTTGATTGATAAGCATAAAATTTTGCAAAATTAATTCTAGGCTTTTATGAATATACCGAATATTATCCCATGGTAAAGGACCTCTCATTTCTACTAATATGTAAACCATTGACCACAGGTCATCTGGTCTACCTTGTTCATTACGCATATGGGTATTAGCCGAACAGTATCTTGTCGTACCTCTACAATAATCAATGTATTCATTTTCTGAGATCAATTTTATCATAAATGTTAGATTTCCAAATTTGAAAATGCAAAAACATTTGTAAAAAGTTAAGCTTCACACTACAGTATATTAAGCCTATAAAAAATATGAAATACTTACTGCTATATTTTTAGTTAATAATATTTATCAAACTTTTTGAATTCTTACTTTCAAAATTAATGACCAAAAGATTATAAAAAAGCTGAATATATAAAACAATGAAGTTAAGATTAATATAAAATATATTAATTAGAAATTAATTTTAAATGTATCAAAATCACAGAAAGTATACAATGAACATTAGCTTCAACTTTTAGTATATTTTATTTTATTAATCTAAAATTTTTACTTTAATTGCAGCAAATTAGATTTTTATTTCTGATAAAAATAAATATCCAAATCTAAGTATTTATATTTATAGTCCTTATTTAAAATACAAAAATAAAAAGTTTTTTTTTTTTTGATTTTCTTGATTAAAAATAAAATTGTACAAATTTTACACTATTTTACTAAACAAACCGAAATAACGTATTTGTTCTAGGTAATCGCAATTTAGCAGTACCATTACTTCGAACAACATACTCTCGAGATAAGCCAAAGTCGAGAATATGTACAACATGAACAGATTGACCTTGCCGACCGACCGCTAAATTAGCAGGTTTGACATCTCGGTGTATGTAGCCTATCTGAATAATGCCGTGTCACGATAGTCACGCAATGGTAACACGCAATATCGTCTATAATGAAGTACAGCAGAACGACAATGTATCTGATGTTGCATACAAATGATTTAATTACCCTAATAAAAACAATTAGCACTTCCAGATAATTTAATTACTCTAATAAATGCTAACTTATCAAACATTTTATTCGTCTCAAATATACTTACAAAATTATATTAATTATATTAAATTTCTAAAAGAGTACTAGCAATACTTAAATTTTTTTTTTTGATTTATGAAAATACGTTAGAAGCTCTCATTTTTACCAGTGCATAAACATTGACCACAGGTCATTTGATCTACCTTGTTCGTTACGCATATAAGTTATTAGCCAAATAGTGTCATAATGAAAAAACTTATTTCAAAGCAAATTATAATAATGAACAAACTTCATGTAACTGTTTCAAACCAAATAATATGTTAATTCCAACTCGAACTTGTGTAGAAACACTACAAACTGGGCACTGCTTAAATATTTGATAAAGTGAACGTCCTAAAAGTGTCATTACCATATAAGAGTACCTGAAAGATACCACGTAGAACACGTAAACACGTGGAATAAGCGCAAGTCTATCAAACGTTTTGTAATAACAGTTTATGAAATTATGCTAAAATTTTTGTTTTCTTGCAGTACGATATAATAATAACAATTAGCACTTCCATATTTTTCATGAAATTTCTTTTCTTTTTTTGATTTAAGATATTAGAGCAAAAATTTAAAATTAGAAGTAATATTAATCAATAAAGTTTTATCGGACAACTTTTAATCAAATAAAGTAAAATTTGAACGTTTGTTTTTTAGCAGATTGAAATAATTGTGCTACATGCTTACGACCTTCTAAACGTTTCAGTATCTGCAATAAAATAGTAATACTTCATAAATTAAGCAAAGTAAATTATTACCGTAGAAATTTTGTGCTAACAAAGAAAAATTAATTTATGACAATTTAAAAGTT